AATAACTAAATTATTAAATCTTGTACGTTAATGATGCGGACACTCCAGTCCCAGTACTTCGGATCCAGATGTGCACATCTATTCTCTTGGTCAACAACATAAATTTGATAAGAGAGTTGAGAATTTTATAAACAGTTTGCATTAACGATAAACATATTTAGTTCAAAGATATTTTCTCGATAAAGTGGATAAAATTGAATTAAAAACTTATAATATAATACTAAATGCGCTTATTATTGAATATAGTATTTATTATTTACTGAAAACTCTTCAAAGGAGGATGAAACGCTTCAACTATGAACTGTGACCTGTTTAATACGTCACAAGTAGATTAGATTAAATAATTTCGTTTTTCCAACATCATTCACTTTCCCGTTGGAATGAACATTAGCGACAATTACAATAGTTTAGGATAATCTGCACTCAAAGGGTTGATCAGCTTTATGAAATCCAACCTTTAAAAAAACTTTTAAAAACAATACACGTTTAATAACCTCTCCAAACGTACAACTTTATCTAGAAATAAACTTTTTATACTAACACCTGGAATATTATTACTAAGCCTTATTGAGATTCGAACGAAACAGACAATATTTCATATTAATAAACATAGTTTAGGATATAATAATAATGCGAGATATTGCATATGAACCCACTCGCAAATATGCATTAAAATATTTACCCGCGATGAACCAGCAAATCTGAAAAAAAATGTTTAAGCATGTGTTACAGTGAAATGTTTTTATATCACTTTCGCTAATTTCTTCAGTCGATCACTTTTAACAATAGCCCTATTCTGAATAGATAATAGACACCTGCCCATGAATCGATTTTTCACAGTCTAGGAGCACATATACATTTCGAACTTTGATTATTCCACAATAGGAAAACCGGTTTTGACGAGAACGGTCGTCGTTTTATTTACACGTATAACTATCTGTTTCAATTTGTTATGTTCACTTACATCCTTATACTATCATAACAATAACAGAATTATTATTTATCTTTTGTTTCTTAAAATATCGCTTTGCATTTTCTTCTTAATAGTTTTCATGTATCTCCAGCGTTTCGTGTTATATAATACCTTAATATCTTGGTTATGATATTTTACTTATTGGTTATGTTTTTGCACTTATTTTGTTCTAGTACACTTTGTTTAAACACTTTCGCAAAATATTTTAAAGTATTTTTCGTAATGCATCGTAGTGAAATGTAATATTACGGCGACTGATTCCACGTATTCACTATTCGGAATACAAATTCGGATCGACGTTGCTACAAGTTTACCGTATAACAGAAGGCTAACCAGTTCTCTCTCGGAACGCTTCGAAACATGTATATAGTTTTCCTGTTGCAGTCACGTTTGATGCGGTAGTGGGGTACCAAGAGTTAGGTAATGATGAGTCAATCCACGTCATTTAGTTCATAAGGCAGCACACAAATTATATATCATTATATACGTATGTAATGAACGATAGAAAAGAAACGAGCCTGAAACTCCTTTTCCTTTTTTTTCCTTTTTGATGATTTGCAGGAAAAAATGGGAAAATCCTCAGACGTTCAAATAAATAACCCAGCTCTCCAACATGGCACAACGATTACTCAAAAAACCAAAACTGTATTCATGTATTTTTTCAATGATATGCGTAATCACTAAACATTTTCTAACGCTTGTCAAATCTAATGCAATTATTATTAAATATACTTTTATTGTTCTATTCATCTTATTCTCGGTTGAAGTGTTTTCTTCCGCCATTTGAACAATTCTTCAAAATACCACAAAAAACATTATACATATGTTTTTACTTAATGTAATTCTAGTTGATGTAATCAAAAAAACACAAGTAAATCTGCTTGAAATGTACGCATGTTTTATGTGCCTAAATTTATCTGGGAAGGCAGGGATGATGCCTAGTGTACGAACAACAAAACTTAAGAAAATAAGGATTCGGATGTCTAAAAAAAGGATACAATTTATTAATACGCGTAAATTAAAATATTTTCTCGATTTTTAAAAAGTATTGAATGTGTGTATCGATTAACATATTGTGACATGTGGTGTAATTAATGTTCTTCATTATTAAGAAGTCCAATATGACAGATATTTATATGTGTAGCAGCTTATTCATTCTGTTTCGTATCCAGATTGGAGACACATTACAAGATGTGTGAATAACCATAAACAGAATTCATATCTGTATAATTCTCACGCGTAACTGTACATAAGTACAAAGTTTTCGAATAAACTTTACACGAGGAAACTTATCGATTAACATGTATGGCATTTTGCAACGCAAGATGAACGTTACATCGACATTTGTTGTTGAAGCCAGGGTATGTATTTTGCCACATCAACATAAACGATGTACTTATGTAGATCGCAGAGCCCACTTCCAATGATTAAAGATCGCGAAACAACGCCACGCAACTCATAACTGTTCGTACTATTGTTTAGAAGTATCAACCCGCTCCCACCGTCACCATTACAAGGACCTAGTCCTTCTTGCGAACCAGCGCAAAAGGTGTCATGCGAGATTACACGAATGTATCTAGCATCCGTCCAGAGACAGGTCTCCTGCAATTTGTGGAACAAACGTCAACGCGAGGATTGTAATCTTTTTGACGAATTTATTTGTCACAGATATACGTAATGAATAGTAATTTTATAATAGCAATTAACTCCTTACTTGACTCACTATCGTCGCCCTCACCATCCGTTGATCGTCGACGTCACGACGATTAAGCTTGTCTCTACCCCATCCTACGACATATCCCGTCCTACTAATGACGTCTTCAAGGTTGGTTGAGCCGGACCATAGACAAATAGGCCTGATGAAAGGATTGAACTCGACGACGTTCTGGAGAGTCAAAATCGCGAGATCGGAAGTAGCTTTGAGATAGTGAACATAATCGGGGTGAATCACGTAGCTCGCGACTTTCCGATTGACAGATCGATCTCCGCGCAATGGGTCCAAGTTAAATCGCCCCGGAACCACTTCCAACATGTCGACAGGTACTGTTTCGTTAGTGAACAGCATGTTTAATTTCATACAGTACCCCGCTGTAAGAAAGATATTCGTATAAATTATATTTTGTAACGATCCAAACTTTCTATCCGGAGGCATCCTGTACGCCCTAGCCGTATTACATACTTCAAATGTGATACTCTGGAATTAAATTAAACAGCTTAATTTAGTATAACAAAAAATAACTACGTGTGCATAAAAACATTCACAATAAGTATGTATATTTATACAGCGCCTAAATCATACTTTTTATAAATATCACAAGAAGACCTTAATGTACTGAAAATACTCTCGAGGAAATACAATATTATGCTTAGAACAGAAACTAGTTGCTCGTTATGTGTAAATACAAATAATAGAAAAAGGTGTGAAATAATAATAAAGAGCCGTTAAAGATTTTACTCCTCTCCATGAGGTGGCATCCAAAAAAACCAGTGGTTTCCGCGGCTGCATTTGAACTCGGATCTTTTCGTTCATTTCTTTGCTAAGCGGCGCATATTTTTTTGCGCTACGCTCGCTACTCCTTAATATTAATGGATAAAAATTAAAATTTTACTATAAACATTCCAGAAAATATATGTAAAACTGGAAAATAACTCACATACAGTTAGTTCAATACATGGACTATGGAAATACTGACTTTTCTCGATTAACATACCTGTTAATACATGTCTGTTTGACAAAAGAGAACCACCGCATTGAAACTTGTATGTTCTCAGAAACCCTTCTTTTGTATTAAGGTAGACTGCAACCACCCATGGCCACTGGCCTGGTAATGAAGTCTCACCATCGGGGATTAGTCTATTTGTTCTATCGTTGTAGTAACCGGTAACACCGCATTCGGAGTTGCTATTGTAGTGCGGATTGTCTATGCGGTAGTCACTCGAATTTCGATGCCACGGCTGAAAATCCTGAGACAGTGGTTCTTCGTTCGGAGGGTATATAATATGCCCCAATTCGATATTGGCTACGATATTTCCACTTGACGCTGAGATGCAATGAAACATATCTCTCAAATCGCACATTAACTTAAAGTATAAAAAGAGTTTCCTTTTCTTCCGAGGATAGAAATAACTTCCAAATAAATAAATAATAGTAAAATCCTTTTTATCTAAAGATATAAAATGATAAGCATGATAAAAAGGAAATAGCGAATGTTTTAATCAGAGTTTTACTATTTATCTCCTACAATATTAGGTTAAAACTTCTATGTAGTCAGATGCGAGTAAGAATTAACTTCATTTGTGCTACATCCCAGATAACATGCATGTCTAAAAGACATCTTTAAGAAGTCTTTAACACGTCTTTTAGACATCTTTTAGACATACACGTCTAAAAGATATCTTAAAGACGTTTTAAAGAAGTCTTGAAGATGTCTTTTAGACAAGCATGTTATCTGGGGTTTTAATCAAATACGGTACTCACCTCCGGGGCCGAGACAATATTTCCGATTGTTGAACCATATCACAGATAAAGTTGGAAATTTTGCGCCCGAAGGAAAATTAATATGATACACCAAAGGTCTACCTTTTTGAACAGCTTGAATGGTTTCTTTTATCGGTCGTGCCAATTCTAATTCAAATAATCCATTCTAGAACGCAAGAATAATTCACCTTTTTCTAATAAAAGGACGCATGACAAACGATAAGTTCTCTCAATAATGAAATTAACCAGTACAGTTAAAGGTAGGCTTTGAGAGTACAATGAAATTACAAAACGTAAAATTACTTTCGAGTTAAAATCATATGCGGAAATAAATTAATGTTATAACAATCCTTAATAATAATGTTTATAGTTGAATGTTTCGTCATGCATTAAAACATTATTTTACATATTTCAATATATTCAGAACAGAAATTACTTTTTGTAAACATTTTCTTACGTAGATATACCATTGTATATTTTTTTACTATGCCTATTTCTGGCAGTTTTATTTCTTTACAATACTAACTAGACTAACTGTATGGTCTTCAGTAGAAAAACTTTGTTTTTAAAAAGACTTTATTTCTGGGTGCTAAACGTATTAAAAATTGCCTGTAGTAATGACAACGAAGTTATACAAACGTCTTCTGCATTCTTAATAGTATTGAAAGTTTACAACATACACTTACCAGAGAATCAGCGGTAGCGTTTAAGGCTACTTGTAAATAAATTTCGTCACTTCCTGGAGGTGAAAAGACTTCGATCCGTCCAAATATCTTGTTTGTCTCAGGGTCGATTACATGTGTGAAGTATTCAGAACACGAAGTTGTTCCATGTACCATGGTAAATAGTAGGTGCGGCAGAAACGCAAATAAGATAACAATTTTAGTCATTTTGTGAAATTCTGTAAATTATAAAAATTCATGTTGTTTATCAATCTTTATTTAACAAACTTTTTAATTAGTTATGAATTTTTTTACTATCTCACATGATTTCAAAATAATTTCCATAATCACAGTGTTATCAACATTAGATTTATCGACTTTTACCATCAACAAATCGTTATACATATAATAAATAACAAAGGACTAATATGTTGGTTTAAAAAAATTATTTTAAACTATAAATCTGCCGTGACAATGCGGTAATATGATAGATTCATAATTAGTATTTAAAAAAGTGTGCAAATTAGAAATTTGCACATGGCTTCCTCATCATTGAAGCGTGCAAATTGGAAATTTGCACATTTCTTCCTCATCATTAAAGTAGGCAAATTAGAAATTTGCACATTGCTCCCATGTTTTTTCAATCCAAATTTCATATATAATTCATTAAAATATGATTAATTAGTTCTTGAGTTATAGACATTTGAAATTTTTGGAAATCATTATTAAAGAAAATTTGCGATAGTTACACCAACCAGAGACATTTCTAAAAAAAAATAATATTAGGACTTTTTGCTTATACTAATGTATACATTTCACCATTACATTTTGTAGCATCACTTTTGAAACACCCAGTATAATGAATTAAAAGTGTTCATGTATGGATTCCGCGAAATTTCAAACATCTATAACTCAAGAACTAATCAACCGAATATTAATAAATTATATATGAAATAGGGGTAGAAAAGACTGGAAAGAGTAATAGAATTAGAAATAGCCCGTTATCTGAAAATTTGCAAAAGTTAGAGCAACCACAGACATTTCACCAAAAATTCAAGATTTTTTCAAAAAGAAACCCATTTACCGATCATCGCAAAAATCAATACCAACCTTCCTTTAGTGATTCTCGACATTTAAAAAAAATAAGCCCGATATTTCAAAATTTACGGAAGTTAGAGCAACCACGGACATTTTTCAAAAAATTCAATATTTGTTCAAAAAGAAACCCGTTTACCGATCGTCGCAAAAATCAATACCAACCTTCCTTTAGTGATTCTCGACGTTTTAAGAAAAAAATTAGCCCGATATCTCAAAATTTACGGAAGTTAGAGCAACCACGGACATTCGAATGCGTACATACACACATACACACATACACACACACAAACAAACACACACACACACACACACACATACAGACATTTTGTAAAAATATGTTTTTTTGACGTTTTAAAATATTTTAAACATATTGCCAAAGAAAACTGGAAAAAAAATTTTTTCACGAAAACAAAGCTTTCTCTATGAGGAAGCAATATGCTCAAGTATTAATTTTGGTATAATAAATTACAATAGATTAGAGACTAGGATCTCGATATATGTATAATGTAATATTATAATGTGCTTTGCGGAATTATGAGACATGCATATGATGGAGAAGACGATGATCTCTTGTTAAAGCTGATATTTTTTCACATAAAATGTTACACGAAGTTTTCTACATTCTGATGTGTTCGCAATATTTGACGCGCCATAACAATAAGTAATTTATTAAATCTTATACGCTGTTCATACGGACAGGCTAGTCCCAGTACCTCGGATTCAGATGCGCACATGTATTTTCTTAGTCAACAACATAAATTTGATAACAGAGTTGAGAATATTATAAACAATTTACATTGACGATACATATGGTAAGTGCAAAATTATTTTCTCGATAAATAGGACAAAAGTGAATCAAAAACTTATAATACTAAATGCACTTATTATTGAATATAGTATTTATTATTTGCTGAAAACTCTTCATAGGAGGATAAATGGTTCAACTATGAACTGTGACCTGTTTAATACGTCACAAGTAGATTAGATTAAATAATTTCGTTTTTGTAACATCATTCACTTTCCCGTTGGAATGAACATTAGCAACGATTACAATAGTTTAGGATAATCTGCACTCAAAGGGTTGATCAGCTTAATGAAATCCAATCTTAAAAAAAACTTTTAAAAACAATACACGTTTAGTAACTTCTCCAAACGTACAACTTTATCTAGAAATAAACTTTTATACTAAGTCACCTGGAATATTATTACTAAGATCCTTATTGAGATTCAAACGAAACAGAGAATATTTCATATTAATAAACTATATAAATAAAATTTCATATTAATAAACATATAAATAAAAATAAATAAATAAATAGTTTAGGATATAATAATGCAAGATATTGCATATGAACCCAATCGCAAATATGCATTAAAATAAAATATACCCGCGATTAACCAGCAAATCTGAAAAACAATTTTTTAAAAAAGTGTTACAGAGAAATGTCTTTATATCACTTTCACTAATTTGTTGTGTCGATCACTTTTAACAATAGCCCTATTCTGACTAAATAATAGACACCTACCTACGAATCTATTTTTCACAGTCTGGGAACAAATATTTATCTTGCACTTTGATTATTCTATAATAGGAAAACCAATTTTGACGAGAACGGTCGTCATTTTATTTACACGTATAACTATCTATTTTTATTTGTTATATTCACGTACATCCTTTAACTATCATAACAATAGCAGAATTATTATTTATCTTTTGTTTCTTAAAATATATATCACTTTGCATTTTCTTCTTAATAGTTTTAATGTATCTCCAGCGTTTCGTGTTATATAATGCTTTATATAATGCTTTAACATCTTGGTTATGATATTTTACTTATTGGTTATGTTTTTGCACTTATTTTGTTCTAGTACACTTTCTTTATACACTTTTGCAAAATATTTTAAAGTATTTTTCGTAATGTATCGTAGTAAAATTTAATATTACCGCGACTGATTTCACGTATTCTCTATTCGGAATACAAATTTGGATCGACATTGCTACAACTTTACCGTATCGTCAGAAGGCTAATCAGTTCTCTCACGGAATACTTACGAAACATGTTTCTAGTTTTACTGTTGTAGTCGCGATTGACAGGAGTGATAGTGGGGTACCGAGAGTTAAGTAATGATGAGTCAATCTACGTCATTTAGTTAATAAGGCAGCACACAAATTATCATGTACGAATGCAATTAACGATAGGAAAAAACGTGCCTGATACACCTTTCCCTTTTTGACGATTTCACAAGAAAAAAATGGAAAAATCCTGAGACGCCCAATGAGCCAGCCAGCTCCCCAACATGGCAACTGTTGGAGGGTGGGTTCAATGACGATTACCGCAGTGTGAGAGTAATGATAGTATATATTTCGTAGTGTTATAATGTAAGCATACTCGCTGAGCACCGACATGTAACGTGGTTATAATCTTACGACTGTTTACTAGCGGCTCGGGAACCGCGGGGCGCGAGACAAGAGCGCCCTCTCTTGGATAACATAATGTCCTATATTATCGGTAACTCTTATCGATGCGTGATCAAGACTCACAGCAACTATTATTCAAGGAACCAAAAATTTATTCATGTATTATTTCAATGCAATGCGTAAGCACTAAATATTTTCTGATGCTCGCGGAATCTAATGCAAGTATTACATATAAAAGACCACTGGTCAAAAAAATTAACGCAACAAGAAATTTACATCAAAATTTGGCAAATTTCAAATAAGCGTAACTTCGCGAAAACTGGTCGAATTGAAAAGTTTTTTCTTTCATTTTATAGGGCAAAGTCTCTGCTTTAAGAAGCTCTTATTGGAATTTGCATTCACTCTTCCCATTTCCCGGAACTTTCTCAAAATCATGACCATGTTTTTTCTCTAAAAAATTGCACACTTTGACGCACTGTGCGGAGTGTAGTAATTTTTCTTCGCCAGTTCTGCTTACGGTATCAAAAAGTGTATACTTTTCTCTTCAATTTAAAAAAAAAAGAAGTTCGTACGATTTTTTTTCGCCAAATCACAGCTCATTGAAATAACCCTTGTGTTTTCGACATTACCGACGATATCTCCGTTAAAAATCATCGTAGTAAGATCGTTTTTCTTTTAAATTAAAGCTTGCACTCTCAGCTTCAAAACTAGTCACCAGATTTTTCCTCGAATGCATCTGCGCTGCTGTAGTTTTTAAAATGTAAGGACATGTTTTTACCTAAAAACTAACCAACTTTGGCCAGGTGCCTGGGCGTACGAAATTTTTTCTCGCTAATTCTGCTCGAAGTATCAAAAAGTATGTACTTTTCCCTTCAATTTAAAAAAAAAGAAGTTACTGCGATTTTTTTTCGCCAAGTTACAGCTTTTTGAAGTAACCCTTGTATTTTCGTTCATTACCGTCGACATCAGCTGTGGCCCTGAAGAGGGCCAGTGGTGTATTCATATCGAACATACTGAGATATGATGGGAAGAAGGCTGCGTGACTTGTAGGACCACACGATGTGCAAAATCCGAACGGCAACCTCCACGTGCACATTGGGTTACGCTGATGTCGACGGTAATGAACGAAAATACAAGGGTTACTTCAAAAAGCTGTAACTTAGCGAAAAAAAATCGCAGTAACTTCTTCTTTTTTTTAACTTGAAGAGAAAAGTACATACTTTTTGATACTTCGAGCAGAATTAGCGAGAAAAAATTTCGTACGCCCAGGCACCTGGCCAAAGTTGGTTAGTTTTTAGGTAAAAACATGTCCTTACATTTTAAAAGCTACAGCAGCGCAGATGCATTCGAGGAAAAATCTGGTGACTAGTTTTGAAGCTGAGAGTGCAAGCTTTAATTTAAAAGAAAAACGATCTTACTACGATGATTTTTAACGGAGATATCGTCGGTAATGTCGAAAACACAAGGGTTATTTCAATGAGCTGTGATTTGGCGAAAAAAAATCGTAGGAACTTCTTTTTTTTTAAATTGAAGAGAAAAGTATACACTTTTTGATACTGTAAGCAGAACTGGCGAAGAAAAATTACTACACTCCGCACAATGCGTCAAAGTGTGCAATTTTTTAGAGAAAAAACATGGTCATGATTTTGAGAAAGTTCCGGGAAATGGGAAGAGTAAATGCAAATTCCAATAAGAGCTTCTTAAAGCAGAGACTTTGCCCTATAAAATGAAAAAAAAACTTTTCAATTCGACCAGTTTTCGCGAAGTTACGCTTATTTGAAATTCGCCAAATTTTGATATAAATTTCTTGTTGCGTTAATTTTTTTGACCAGTGTCAACTACTTTTTTTGTTTCATTAGGTCTATTCTCAGTTCAAGTGTTTCATTTAAACATTAAAAAATTTTCCCAAATCGTCACCAGACATATTATATTTTTTTACTTGATTTAATTCTAGTTGATACAGTGAGGAAGAGAATAGTTGCAACATTATTTTTAATAAGTTTGGAAACGCACATTTAGTTTCTGGTTTACGTTCCAAAACATTTTCTCTAAGGAAAATTTTATTCGAGAAATACATCGGAAGTGCCTCAAAATGGTTTCGGAATGGCCATGGAGTAGAATGTTCCTCGGAGAAGATTTAAAGCGTAACTCTAATTTTAAATGCGTGTTACTAGACTCAATAAAAAAATTAACGTCCCAACCATTCCGTGCATAACTGCGCGTACAACAAAGCTTAAAAAGGGAACAAGTCACATATGTTTAAATTAATGTATTTATTAATACAGGGTGTCGGATTCGATTTTTTTGGACGACTCCAAAGATTATAGTAGATTGGGTCAAGCTGAGAAGAAAAGTTATATAACATTTTACAAAATTCGTAATTATTATCGCGTAATTAAGAAAAACATCTGAGCCAATAAGTGCACGGAGGAGCTGAAGGCCGGACACGGCAGACATGCAAAATGGTGTATTATTCTCCTACCACCAGAAAAACTTTTTCGGCGCTGTGTCATATGTCGCGCGTTCGCTTGCTGCGCGCCGTTCGCCCGCTCACCGCTCCCCGCTCGCCACCGTCTCTCATCGATCGATGCGTGACTCCACTTCTCGCTATCGGATCTTGAGAGATGTCAACACCATTTTGCATGTCTGCCGAGTCCGGCCTTCCGCTCTTCCGTACACTTATTGGCTCAGACGTTTTTCTTAATTACGCGATAATAATTACGGATTTTGTAAAATGGTATATAACTTTTCTTCTCAGTTTGACCCAATCTACTATAATCTTTGGAGTCGTCCAAATCGAATCCGACACCCTGTATATGTAATTTAAAATATTTTCTCTATTTTCACAAGGTATTAAATGGGTATATAGGTAAACATATTCTAACACGTGTTATGATTCATATTTTTTATTAGTAATAAGTCCAATATGGCAAATCATTATATGTATGTTACTTATTTATTCTGCCTTGTATCCAGATTAGAAAGACGTTAGAAGAATACTCGGAATATATAATCAAAAGCAAAATTCGTAACTACTTAATTCTAGTGAGTAACTGTTTACATATAAGTACCGCATCATCGAATAAACTTTACATAAAGAAACTTGTCGATTACCATGTATTGCGTTTTGCGACTGGAGACAAACGTTACACCGAAATTTGTTCTTGAATCCAGGGTACGTATTTGGCCACATCGACATAGATGACGTGTAATCGTGGATCACAGAAGGCATAGCCGGGTGGAACTAAAATTCCCGCAATAATGCCACGCAACTCATAACTGCCAGTGATATTGTTCAGAAGTATCATCCCGTCCCCACTGTTACCCCAACAAGGACGGTTGTTGTCAAGGGAACGAGCACAATAGGTATTATTTGTGGTCACATAAGAGTATCCAATATCATCCTTGATACAGTCCTCCTGTAATTTGTGCAACCAAATTCACCTCGAGACCTTCAATGACTCTGACATAAACATATGTTAAAATTAAATGCAATAAACAGTAATTTTATAATGACAATTGACTACTTACTAGACTCATTATCGACGCCTTCAGCATCCGTTGTAATTGAGCATCACGTTGCTCATGCTCGTCTTTACCCCATCCTACGGTGTATCCTACCCTATTAATGACTTTTTCAAATGTAGGTGAACCAGACCATAGACAAATAGGCCTGATAAAAGGAGTGAACTCGACGGGGCTCTCGAGGGTCAAAACCGCCATATTGAAATCAGTGCTAATATAGTGCTCATAATCGGGGTGAATCACGTAGCTCGCGACTTTACGTATGGCAGATCCTTCTCCTTGCTCTTCGAGCAAGTGATATCGCCCCAATACCACTTGCACCAATTTGGGGTCTATTGTTTCGTTGGTAGCCCTTGATAGTTTCATGACGTCCGCCCCTGTAAAAAAGACAAACGTATGAATTATGCCTCGTCTCGTCCGGATGGATACTATGTAGTGCGTTCCGTCGCGCTGTTACCAACAGGTATTTTAAAGCGTGTTAAAAAAAACACGCACGTTGCCCCGCACCACGCGCGGCCTGTGTTTGCCTGGATTCTTCATTGTTTTCCTGTTGTGCGTGTAATCCAACAGCAAGATTATTTTCAGAGTTGCTATTTCAAGTTTAGATACAGTTCTTGTCGTCGTAATGGGTAAATCATCTCATAAATCGAAGAAGAGGAAGAGGTCGTCGTCAGGGGACAAATTAGCGGGTATCGAGGAGAGGCTCACTCTTCTAATTGATCTCTTATCGGACAGAGAGGTTGGAGCGCTAGGCGTCTCTTCTTATTGTCCACCGTCCATTCCTGCAAACCACGATGACCTTGCGTCAGGTAGCGAGATTTATTCAGGGGATCTCTCCAATGAGGAAGTTTCCGAGATGACCGCCTGCTCGAACGGCGGCACTTTAGCAACGCCTGCTCGGCAGGATAGGCCAAGCGATCCGCACGTTTCAGGTGTGTACGAATATCCCGGCCCTGTTAATCAGGCAGCGGATTCGACACAACCTTTTCCGATTCTCGGAATAACCGCTTGTCATTTATAGTCCCGGATAAGGATCCTTCGGGGAAAGCTCCTCCTTCGCCCTCATCTCTGGATTATAGTCAGGTAATGGTCGTCAATCCCAGGGCGTCTGACGAGACGGATTTGTTGTCAAGGGAGCTTTTCGGCGCTGAACTAGAGAGTTCAGACACCATAGCCTGGAACGATCGGGTCTCGCAGAAATGGCGTGACCTCGTCCGTAGCGGATTGGCGGAGGGTCAACGCACCATCTTAATTGACAAATATTCGCCTTCCAACGAAATGGACTTTCTTAGGGCCCCAGAACTTAATGCAGAATGTAAGTCGGCTCTCAAGAATAACTCAGTGGTCAAGAGAGACGAACATAGTTGTGCAAACCAGAATCAAGTAGGTGTGGCCTTATTCGCCTTAGGAGAAGCTATCTCAGACTTTCTCAAACCTGAG